TCCATCTGGAGGTTGTCGTGGTTTTAAAGCCATATGGTGCCTATTCATGCCCGAGTTTGAGAATGAGCGCACTGACACACCGGTAATTTCCGGCGTAAACAAACTACTTGTGCCGAGCCCACGCACGCACCACCGCGCGCACGCACTTGTACACACCACGAGCAAGTAGGTGAACGTCTGGGCGATTTCTATTTTCATCATCAAGGCAATGCGACGCACCCTGTCGCGCACCCTTACTTGGAGCGCCAGCGATTGTAGCCATATTAGCTTGGCCCATGGCGCAATCGGGGTTCGAACCCAGGCCACGTACCACTCACCGAAGGCGCTAACTACCCGGCCATTACACCCCTCTGTGTCTTGCCTTCTCTTATCCCGGCCATATACGGCTTTAAAATGACCACAAGCGCGCTCTTCATTGCACACGTCTCCGGTGCACCTGCGGCCAAACGCCAAGTACGCCAGAATGTTTTCCGACATGTTCCTCCAAACAGCTCTCCGAACCCGTCGCTTCCCGCCCGTTCGCCGGCTCGCCTCTCTCGCGCTCGCGCTACTGCGGTTTCTCCGCTTCGCCCGGCCGGGCCGGCTTTCCCGGCGCGGAGCCGGCGCCCGAGACGCCGTCGTCATCAGAGGAGTCGGCCGGCCTTTGTCAGCGGGCGCCAACCCGGCGGCGTCAAGTCTGGGTCGTCGCCGGGTCCGGACGCGCCGCCTCTCCGCCGACTGGAGAGGGAGAAACGCGCCCGCACCGCGTCCGCCGCGGGTTGTCGGCGTTTTTACTGGGGCTGTCGGCGCTGGGAGCGTTGTTCGACCGCGCCGCCGTGCGCGCGCCGCATGGTTTTTGTGCCCGATTGTAGCGAAGAAAAACATACCTACGCCAGACAATGAAAGGGTGCAGCTTGACCGCGGTTCAGATTAAGTGTTGAAGAGCAATGACCTAGGAGGGCTTTCACGGCACACGATCTGGTATAGGTGATCGCCAGATGGCAAGAGCGTGTTTTCTGTAGCTCCCCGTCTCCACGGGCTCTGATAGCGGCGAGATGCAAACCAAACACACGTGACCTCACATCGCGGAGACCTTGTTCAGGACGTCAGACATAGGTCCACGAGAGCACCAGCCAAACGTGTCTAATGATAGCAAACTGTGGGCGATATGTTATATGCGCAAAAAATATGGCATCTCTCGGTGCTGCAAGGCACGTTCTGCGTAACTGCGTCCATGACGCCTGCTAACAGCTGGAGCAAATCGCAGATCGTTTGCGATATGTTTGACAGCGGTTGCAAATGAAATCCCGACACGGCAAATCGGCAAAACGATTGGTATAAATCGAGGCCAGTAGTCACTCCACGGGTTCAAGCTAGCACCGCGCTTGTAGTGTGCTACCAGTGAGGTTTTGCCATTGCTGCAGGTTGCAGAACGGGCAGCGCAGCAGACTGGACGCGGTTTCTCCTCTAAATCATTCGTCTCTTGACGCCGTCGTTTGGTGTCAAGGCCTCAACCGAGCCATGCCACCTTTGCAGTTCAAGTCATGAGCTGTGGCCGTGGCACAAAAATAGCCACTCTCCGAGTCCTTTGTGACTCAGACCCGGCTGGTTATCTGGTATTTAGGGTCACAAACCGGGACACTCAGCTGCAGTGGAGGCGTGCGCGGCGCACGCGCGCTGGAGAGGTGCAGTCGGGGTGCGACGCATGCATTCTGGAGGGGGTGCAGTCGGGGCGCGGTGCGCGCGCGCTGGAAAGGTGCAGTCGGAGTGCGGCGCACAGAGCGGCGGCGGCAGCCAGTGGGGGCTGACCGGGAAGTGTACCGAGATTCCGGCAGTGGCAAGGCATATGTGAGCAAGAGAGAGGTCACGATCGTATCATGGAATACAATGGAAAGGCGTGTAGAATGGAAGCGAAAGAAAACATTGCAATAGAGAGAGGCCCTGGGAGCTGAGTACAGCGAACAAAACCTTCCAAGAACATGATACTGATAAAAGATTGACAGGGATCAGCGGCATAAAATACATAATTGGCAGGATTATGATGGTGGCGATCGTGATCACCAAGGACGTATCACACACGGCATGCCTGGAGCACGTAATACAACGAACGTTGGTACTTCGGAACTGGGTGTGGCCGCATACTGCTGCATGGGAACGACCTGTGCAGTCAGGGCTGTGGAACGGGCTCCTCCATGACTTTCATGTATTGCTGGTCTGTTGAAATGGGACCAGCCAGAATAAGGCGTGAGTTTCGGCAGCATGTCTGTCCCCAACCAGTCATGTGAAGAGAAGTGAGTTTTCACGCATCACACATTCGTCCCTGGACCGCTCAGCTCCCACTGGCAAATCTTCATCCTAGCGTGTTGATGTTCCTATCGGTTTGTATATTGTAAAGATGAAAATTGACCTATGCGGTACTACCCCTACGAAGCAGATCTTGGAGAATGTACCCTTTGCCTTGCTTGCTTGCTTAGAGAAATCCATGGACAACAACTGGGCGTTGTGACATCGCTGGACCCGTGCGTCCATTGTCTGCTGTCTTTCGTCAGATACGTTTTAATGACTGCCTTTTCCGCTACACCTGGGATGTGAAATACTGACCCCTTTTATCGTGGCTGATCGCATCTTTTGCGACCGTGCGCCGTTGCCGCTGCGACCACCCGAGAGCTTAACAGCTCCAAGGTGCTCAGCATCAGTTACAGCCGGCCTCTACTGTGTCCACAGTGTCCACGCTCTCCCAGCTCCCGGGCCCTGGGCACTCCATGCTCCCGTTTGACGTATTCTCTTGGAAAAATCGAACAAAGCCGGCATGAGGTCGGCCATGGGGCCTGCCTCATGCCCCAGCCAGACGTGAGCAGCTGATGGCGCTCGCCAGCTGATTTGAACAAAGCCGGCATGAGGTCGCCGATGGGGACTGCCTTATGCACCAACCAGACGCGAGCAGCTGATGACGCTCGCCTCCCTGGGCCGGTATCGTCTCGCGCATAAGTGACTTCAGTCATCAGTTGGGGCCCAGTCGGTGATGGGAGTGGCTGATAACCGGGGGTGGAAGATGTCGCGGGACCAAATAACGGCTGGGGCAGGTGGTGAGGACCTGATGACAGCCATCAGTTGGGGACCAGATGGGGACTAGAGCATGTAATGGGGACGACACAGTGCATCTGTCAGACGGTTCGTCAACGTATTGCTCAGCGTCGTCGGCATCCGGTCTGCTGCGGTAACATTCGTTGGATGTACTAGCGGTGAATGCGTGGCTGAGGCGGCTTTGTTGTACCACTTAAGACACCTCAGGTGTTAGAGAGAGTGTTTCACAGTTGTAGAAGATTTTGAACCGAAATTACCATTTTGAAGATCATTCGTTGTAGTTCATAGCCCTGTCCGTATGGAGACGCAAAACGTTGTAGCTTCTGAGCTACGCAGCCGCAAAGATGTGCAGGCTATTTCGTACGAACCATTTCAAGGTTAGTCAGGCAAGCTATAGAAACATCTTTTCACTCTTGCCACCCCATTTGTCATGTATCGTTCATGACCAGCAAGAATAATATCATCGACCCGTTCATATATGGCGTTCGTGAGCACGATTTTCTTGGTACAGGGCCGTCAGTTCAGGTCCTCGGCTCTCAACCAATGTTTGTGCGAGCTGAGCAAGTTTTTGTTCACGAAACACGTCTTGTGTTACATAATACAAAAAGTTGCATATCCTTAGCAATAACGGAGCTTAGACATGTAATCGAATAACTTGAAAATGGCGCCATAATCGAGGGTGTCAATTCAAGTAAACATTTTAAACTAACTGATTAACATATCAGCACACCACAACAAAGGGCCAAAACACGAGCACATAACGATATTTGGTTCGGAACCGTCTTGGCCCCTCTTCCAGTACCGCCACGGCCACCTCTCGGGCTATTGAAGTACACAAGTGATTTATTAGGGGGGCAATTTCTCACGGCTAGTTTGACAGCACCTCGGCGTCACGTAAATGTTCCATGGCGTACTCAATTGTTGTCTAGAGCAGTCTTTTCCACTAAAAGTATAAGAATAACTATAGGTGAGTTTATTCATCACATTTGATGCTTGCTTCAAGATCTTCACATGTGGAACAGTTCCTCTGAAAATGTCTCCAGGGATGACGGTCAGTGGCTTCTGAAGAAAAAATGGCAGGGAAGATGCTGCACACTACGAAAGACATACTAGTTTGCCATGGGATCACTGAGGCAGACTCAATACCACACGTAGTATGCATCGCTACGGAGACATTTGGCTGTACCCTTCCTGCGATTGTGCCGTCCCTCATAAGATTCGCCCGGTTGTGAGACCAATGTGGCAGTGCTGATCGCGCGCCTGGTTTGACGCGGTTCATCCCCAGCAACAGATCCTCCAGCTGGTCGGTCCGTGCTTCCCTTGAGGATGGAACCTCTAACCGAACCCGGTGCTCGGCGCGCCCCGCGAGATGCGCCGTGACAGCGACGCGCCCCGCCCCACCCCCGTAACAGACGAACGTGACGCCACCGTGCCCATCCGAAGCAGACTTCTGCGGCGCCGGTTTTGTCACCGGCTTGCCCCGTGACAGCCAAAGTGGCGCCCGTGACGCAACGCGACGCGCCGGCGTGCTCCGCCAACGCGGCAGATGCGGCGCTGGATGCGGCCGGCCTCTGGCTCAATCCGGCCCTGTTGCGGCAGACAGCGGCGCGCTGCCGGCGTCACCTGTCGCCGCGCGTCACGCCCGCGCCTGTTGCGTCTGCGGCGGCCGTGCACATGGCGCCAGCGGGCCGGCCAGACGCTGTGCTTGCGGTTGTTGCTGCTGGCCTTCAGCCAGACAGTTCAGGCGTTTTCGTTTAGCGCTCCACCACCGGCGTTGCGTCACGATCGCCGAAAGGCTGCTGCTTGACGCCTTGGCGGCACGTATACTCTTGCATGTGGTGGGACCAATTATCCGAAAGTGTCATGGTTTATCACACTGACGATTTGGCGTGATAGCGTGGGATAACATCGGTTACTAACGACGCTGCTCATTCCAGATGCCAACTTTTTGCTGCGATTCCTGCGCATGAAGAAGTACAAGCTGCCAGATGCCCAGGCTGTGTTGATGAAGTACCTACGGATGCGACAGAAGGAGCCGCACTACTTCCACCGGCTAGACATCTGCGATCCGGCCATCAATGATCTCGTCACTCGCGGGTGAGCGCCTTCGGGAGTGTACTAGTGTCGCTCGGGTGCCTGTGGCGCCGATGAGTGCGTGCCTCCCCGGATGGGTGCGAGTATCGCTCGTGTGCCAGTGGCACCATGGGAGAGCCATTCGGGGATGAGTGTCTTGGAGAGTCGACGGCTGACTAAAAAGCACAAAGTGACATGTTTGTGCCGCCAGAGGGCGTACTGCCTCTGACAGTGCTCTGTACTGGCACGGGTACATGCTTGTGTTACCTGAGAAGGTGTACTGCCTCTGACAGTGCTTCCGTTCTGGCACAGGTACATGTTTGTGCTGCCGGAGAAGGCGTACTGCCTCTGACAGTGCTCCGTTCTGGCACAGGTACATGTTTGTGCTACCGGAGCGAGACGCCGCGGGCCGGCGGGTGATCGTTTCGCGCGGCTCGCGGGTCGACCCCTCCCGCCACACCCCCGACCAGGTGATCCGCACCAACCTCATGACCTTCGAGACCCTGCTGGAGGACGAGGAGAACCAGGTCCGCGGCTTCACCTACCTCTTCGACCAGAAGGGCATCGGCTTCTCGCACGTGTTCATGTGGTCGCCCAGCCAGGTCTCGCATATGATCTCTTGCTGTGAGGTGAGCTGGTGGCGGGCGGGCGGGTCAGATTGTTCGGTAGCCGCGCGCAGAACGTGCTGATGCGTTGAATTTCCTGCTGCTGCCCTGTCGCTTGCGGATACCGTGAGCAAACAGGAAGCCAACGGAACAACAGGAGCGATTGCCCAACAGGAGTTGAATTGACCTGTAGCAGAGCAGCAGTCACTGTATCCGAAGTAAATTGCGAGTTAAAAACGCCTCGGGCCTCGCTCTCCGGTCTGGTGTCATCTTTAAGAACTTGGCACATAACGCTGGGCAGGGCCCACATCTCCAGAATTGTTTTGTACCCTTTTCGGTTTATTCTGTTGAAATAATGCAACTTGTGCAGCTGAAGTGATGCGGACGTGTTTATTATTGTGCCTCATAATGCTTACAGAAAACCACTCACAGAAATGAAATTTGTGTCGGAAGCACGGCCTCGAATCTCTCATGGCGACCGCTCGGAGTCCTGGGCCTGGAGTCATGACATGAACCGACATACTTTGACTTGCTTCGTGTAGGCATTTTGCCACAAAATTTCAACGCCAATATCTTTTTGTCAACATTTTATGAGCCAAAGGCTGAAGCATGCTTGCCTTATTTCCGGCCCGTGTGCCTGCCTGGTCATCGCATACCTGAAGCGTACTAAAGCTGGTTGTTTGATTTGATGACGTCTGCGGCTCTGGCGCGGTTGCCGTTCCCGGATGTCGAGCTGATCGCTGACCCGACCTACCATCGCTCCACAGAGTGCCATGCCGATGCGCCATCAGCAGATCAACTTCATCCACGTGCACACGCTCATTCACGCCGTGCTGGACTTCGTCAAGGGGCTCCTCAATGCCAAACTGCGCTCCCGCTTCATCGTGCACAGCAACGTGGACAAGCTGTACGACACGCTGCCGGCCAAGAACCTGCCCAAGGAGTACGGGGGCATTACGCCGATCGACGATATGATCGGTAAGTGGTGATCGTTGACCCCGACGGCCTATATTTAAATCCAGTCCGTGGTTGTGCACAACAACGGAACTAAGCAGCATTTGTAGCTGCTCTGAAGATCAGCTAGGCGGACCTACCGCTGTAGTGCACGTTTAGGTGTTTTGAATGCGCTTTTGCACGCATCGTATTATTCCAGTGATTGTTTTGTTGCTTAACATCACATTTCATAGCAGTATATCAGCGTCGACGAAGGTATGTGATCGACGGCTTTTGTGAACTGATGGGTGTTGCCCATAGCGACCCACTGAATCAAAGCAGATATTTCAGAGCGACTCACTGAATCAAAGCAGATATACAGCGCCACCTATAATCAGGCACTGGCTAATTCTGCACCATTGACTGTCCAGTGCCGCCACTTATAGCCATGTGTTCCCTGGTCTGCAGGTTCGTGGAAGAAGGAGCTGCTCGCCAGTCGGCCACGTCTGCTGGCGCTGGACCAGATGAGGGTGTGCGCCGAAGACGACGAGTCGTGCCGGGCGGCGGCCTCCCTGCACACTTCGCTGGCCACGCTGGAGATCGACTAATCGTGGGCGCTGGCGGCTCCGACCGGCGCACGGCTTCAGCACGATTCAGCGAGGATGGTCAATCGCTGGCCGAACACCATGGGGAACTCGGAGCCGAAATCCAGTGCAGAATGAAGTGTCTCGAGCTGCTGTCGTCACAGCGCATACCAGTGATGTCACAGGGCAGCTGCATCAGCAGCAGAATGCGCGCGCTGAAACCAAACTCACGAGCACGACGGTGTCAGGACGCTGTCGGAGTTGGGCGAGAGTGTACGCCGAAGACCGACTCGTGCCACCGCTCCCTGAGCCGGAGGACCGGGGAGTACGCTGAAGTGCAACGTTGCAAACGAGCATGTGAATAGTTCCTAGCTCTGCTGGGGCGAGTGCGACGCGGGTACGGCTCGGTGTGACAGGGGCGGATCCAGAACGCTGCCTTGGCTGGGTAACCCCAGGGGGATGCAAGAGATGTCCCGATTTTCAGAAATTAATTGGATTTCGCTCCTTCTTTCTTGAGTAAGTGTTTCAGAACAAGCCTATGGTAAAGGTTGCTTAGCTTCTCTGACAAGTTCAGAAATGTATAATTATGTCCACTTTGGGTGATCTTAGCTGTGATCCCGACTGTCCCCCACCCCACGCCCGTCCTTGGATCCGCCCTCGCAGTGGGAGGGCCAGTCAAAATGAGTCTGTATGGCAGCAGAAATCGTCCGTGAAGAACGTCACCTGGCCAACATCTCACATGGTTGGCTGAATCCAGGCATTGGTTCGTTGATTCACTGCACTCATCGATTGACTGACTGACTGTGCACGGACTTCGAAAGATCGATTGGTGGTAAAAACTGATGCTATGCTATTTGTGGCCAGGCCGAACTGGAGGGTCAGGAACGCTTGAAGCGAACTGTCGGAAGGACGGTTGGTGACTCTCAGCTGATCAGTAGCTGATCAGTAATGCCATCTTGGGCCGACGTATTGTGGCTCAATTCGATGTGCTCGTTTTGTTCGTTCAAAGCTTTGCACTTCGGAAGCCGCTGCGCAGGCGAGAATTGGGAACTGAAAACTAATTAAGTTTCTATGAAGTATTTGATCATTTTCATCCGGGGTTCCATACACTGTGATTTTTTTCTATTTTCTGCATCAATGGGACCTGACAGAGGTTCATATGGAGGTGAGAATTGGCTCAATATGAAAGTGAGAAGTAAAATCAACAACTTTTAGCGAAGGGCTTTTGTTTTGTTTCAGTGCTGTCAATGCTTCCTTTCTACGGCCATCTGCTCCAGCGTGGGGTTCTGTAACATAAACTGTAATGTTGTAGCTAGGCTCTCGCATCTGTAATGAGCTGGGTCCTCGAGGTGTCGCCCTCTCTCGTTCACGCTGAGGTAAGAAGCTTTACCAGGATGACTCTCACGATGCCTGGCTCCCTGGTAGTTTGAAGCTGTGATCACGCCAGGTGATGCCAACTGCCCGTGCAGCAGTCGAGCGAGTTTAACGGTTTATGTAGCGGATGGATATAGCGGCTCGTCGTGTGACAGTGTGTTGTCAGATTTCGAAATGATCGTTTAAAATACACTATTATGTACAGAATGCCATCGCGCTTTTACACTGTATGAAAAAACAGCGGCGCTACTGCATTATCAAAACGCATGCGAGATAAGTTTTACGGATTTTCCGGAATGTTAGTTGAGAGAGTCGAAAAACACGGAACTTTTTAAGTTTTCAGTAAATCCATCCGCAATCCACGGCTACTCAACGTGCAGGTTCTAGGGCCTTGGTGCAGGTTGTGTGAACTTGGCAGCCAGTGACGTACTCGCGGCGGACTAAGTCTGCTACTGGCTCATCGGTCTCTCTGTACCATGTCTCACGGCGTGTCATCGGCAAGATCGCTGGTCTAATGCAGCCTTCCTCAATGATATGGCTTCTTATGAAAACTATAACATCATATATCATATCATAAAATCATATCATATAATCCCATCATATAATACCAGATAACATATCATAAAATCCCAGAGCGTAGCTTAGTCTTTAACGTCCGCATTGACTTTGCCATTTAAGTATAAGCGATGGTAAACCGGAGAAATGTAGTAGATATATCTGCTGCATGCCAAACATTTCAGTAGTGTCGAATTTCATACCTCTACTAAACCCATTGCTGTAATGGTTACGAGCCTCCACGAACTTGTGGCACGGCATGAGTCCGCGGAATAAAGTTCGAAACGTATAAAGGCGCTTTTTTATCTGACGCACATTGCTAAAGATTTTCCGCACAGCATCGTGCCGCGGTGCGCCGTAAAACGACAATACGGCGGCCACCACCTACATGGGCGTGGGAACAGGGGGGCCAGGGGGGCCATGCCCCCTCCCCCACTTTTCAAGGTGGGGGGACCAGTAATGCGAACTGACCCCCCCCCCCCTTTCAGATTAGGGTTGCATTTGGCTTACTTTTGCACTGAATTAAACATGGATGTCGATATACCTAGTTTACCAGCCATCTCCCTTAAGATGCGTCATCTTTTTCGTTTGCTCATTGGCCATCGCTTAGTGTTACAGCCGCAACATCGACGCCGCACGGCCTGGAGACTACAACGCCGGGCGTCGAGGCTGCTATTGCCATGACTTGTGAGCTCGCGTATTCAGCACCATATTACGTAGTTTTCTTATCATTGATCACCTCTGACAGGATCTTAAGCATTTTAAGACGAACATGGGTTAGTCATGTTAAATAAATTAGGAACCTCATTTCATCTACAATCTACGGTCAGGGAGAAATCAACATCTCTGAAGAACACGGAAAAACACGGAACTGGCGTATATGTGGCAACCATCGGACTACCTGCAGTGATCAGAGATGTTGTTGCGTCAATGAGAGTTGCTGTGCTGATCCGGGGCCAACTGCGCGGGTCAGAAGGCCTCCCAGTGTCAGGGATGGGAACTACGTAATATGATATATCCTTCTAATGGCCTCCGGATCGACCAGAAGATTCCGCTCCGTGCCACCAGAAAGACTGCCGGAAGACACTTTGCCATGGAACGGAATGACCCTTCAGCCCTTGACCGGAAACGGTAATGTACCCCTGGTGCTCTACTCAAGAGGCCCCTTGCCCGGAAGGAAATAAGGGGTCTCAGTATTGTTGGGTAAAGGGGTGTCTCATTATTGTTGAATAAGATGGGTCGAAATGAGCTTAAAAACGAGCAAGGTCATGCCATATTTGCCTGAGAACGTCCATTTTTTAAGAATGTTATTTTTGAAACTAATTACATCAAAAGGCTTGAACATGCCCGCCCACAACCTCGAGAGCAAGGACAAGGATCGTCTGGGTTGCCACACCCGTAAAACCGAAAAGTTTCGGCCACTGCAAGTGTCACCAGACGGTGGGTGCCGTGTTAATCTGTCTTCTGGATAGATAAATAGCTGCAAAAACACGAAAAATAGAGATTTTACCTTCACTCCTCCAGATCAACAACCAGGTTCCGGACCCACTTTGCGGTGCTTTAAGGGCCAATCTGTTCTTTTCATCAGTCTCAAAATTGCACACGTGAAATATGCGTTTAGACTGCCTTCTAAACGCATATTTCTTCAGAGGTGATGCCGCATGGTACCCTCTGAAAGCAAAACCTGCAAGACGGGGTGAGGAAGGCGGTCAGTTCCTGGCTCTCCTCATCCAGAGGAATCTGCCAGCAACCCCTTTCAGTATCCAGGCTGCTGAATACAGCTGAGCCAGCTAGGTTGGGTGCGATGTCATCCAGCGTTGGCAGCACCAGGTGCTCCCTCTTTACAGCCTTATTCAGGCGATGGAGGTCCACACATATCCTCACTTGGCCGTTACCCCTCGTCACTGACACCGTTGGTGCACACCATTCTGTGAGCTTTATCACCCTGGTTGCAACGCCTTCTGCCTTCTGTCAGCATTCGCTCGAGTCCAACTTTCACCTTAGTCATGAGCCGGAAGGGGTAGTTTCGAGCTGTGAACAGGCAGAATGGTTCAGCATCATCCCTCAGCTCTATCTTCACAGGTGTGGTTTTCATCAGGCTACACCTTCGGCAGTTTTCATCTCATCATTTCATCCAGGTCTGGGCCAAACTTGCATGTGGCAGCCAGAGTCCAGAGAGCTGAGACATACTGCAGGACAGTCTCACCGGGTTCCTAGGCCCTCTTATGAAAGTTGTACCTTTCCACAATTGGGTTCTCTCTTGGGATACAAAGCTTGTCAAACTGATCAATGATCTTCTCCAGGTTATGGGCATCTTCTTCCTCCTCCCAACCAAAATGGGAATACCGCTCTTGGGCGGAGAGGCCAGCGCAGTCGAAGAAAATTCCAATTTTCGCTTTTTCTGGCTTTCTATCGAGCTCATTGACATCCTAGAAGAATTACCAGTCCTGCTTCCACGTGCGCCAAGCGCTAGCAAGGGCTGGATCAGCCAGATTCAACTTACGGGGCTTTCTGAAGGAAGACATCGCAATTGGCTCAATGCGAAACCGGCACGAACTACTCGGCGCCTGGGAAATTATTGGTCTACAATGACGATATTCCTTTGAAACGAGCCTTAAGAGCAACAGTGAGGCGTGACGATTGGCTATTCGGACACCATGTCTTGTTATCTGTTCGTTAGCGCCTTCCCAGTTCTGGATCACACACACAACGCCCCACAGCTGGATTCTGTATTTGAACTGAACTACCGCAGTCCAACGGAATCGCGTCAAGGTGCGCGGTGGTGACGTTTGTCAAGTTAGATCGACATTACACATTCACATTCGCGTGTCACATTCGATCTACCAATCAATTACAATGAAATTTCGCTCACAAATAGAGCTAATTATGCCATTGATGAGTATACAAATTACCAAGTGTGACATCCAAAGAAAAAGGAGTTGTTAAAGATCAAAGTTCAAGGTCGTTCGAGGTCATTGCTTAGTGAACCTTCCTGGACTCGACAGATTTCGATCCAATTTGATTTCTTGATAGAATAAAACATGCCAATTAATAAAATCACATTTTACAAATGTGACATTTAAAACCACGCCCGTAAAGGACTATAGAACTTCAAGGTTTCTCAGAATCGGACTCTTTCGATTGCTTTGAGATTTGGTAAAAACATTCACAACGCATCACTCCACCTAGCCTTCAAATATTACATTGTGACATTCAAACGTTCGCCTTCCAGAGGCATTCAAATCTTGAAAATGACAGCCCTGCACGTGTTAATATATATATATATATATATATATATATATATATATGTTATGCACGTGTTAATATATATATATATATATATTATATATATATATATATATATATATACATATATATAATTTTTTATATAATTATTAATTATATAAAATTATTATATATATTATAAATTATTATATATATATTATATATATAAAATATACTATAATTAGCCGTTGCCTCTCAAATCATTTGCCATATGATGGTACGGCATGCGAAATGTGACGTACAAATCAAAACTGTCACATCCGATGTCGGTTTTTCCACATTCGCGGGCTTCTCTGATTGCTTTGAAATTCACCACAAATTTCGACAGGATTCATTGTCTTGGTGGCATATTACGACGCTGTTTGTGTCGTTTTACAGACATGTCATATATCCCATTGTTTGAGAGCCTCTGGAGTGTGTAAATTCAAATGCCACATATTGCCACTGGGTGATAAACTGTATATATACATTGTACACATCTGCGCCAAATTTCGACGTGATCGAAGGAGTCTCTTGTCCATTTCGCTGACATGCAATGTGTATATATTAACACGTGTGAGGCTGTTATTTTCAAGGTTTGAATGCCTCTGGAAGGCGAACGTTTGAATGTCATACGATAAGATTAGTTGGCTAGGTGGAACGATGTACGGTGATTATTTGTAGCGAATTTCAAAGGAATCATAGGAGTCCACGAATGCGTGAAACCGATATCGAATGTAAAATTTTGTATTCGTACGTCACATTTTGCATGGCATACCGTCATATGCCATATCATATGAGAGGCAACGGCTAATTAGATCATAGGAGATGCATTGTTTAGCATTCCTTGGTCCTGGTGGCATATTACGACCCTGGATGTCTCGTTTTAGAGATATGTCATATATCCCATTGTTTGAGAGACTCTGGAATGCGTAAATTCAAATATCACAATTTGCCACTTGATGAAAAGCTGCATACATACATTGCACACATTTGTGCCAAGTTTCAAAGTGACCGAAGGAGTATCTCGTCCATTTAGCTGCCGCGCAATCTGTATATGTTAACACGTGGGAAGCAGTCATTTTCCAGGTTTGAACACCTCTGAAAAGCGAACGTTTAAATGTCATTACTATAATATTTGGTGGTTAGGTGGCTATTTTTACGTCACATTTTGCATGCCATACCGTCATATGGCACATAATATGAGAGGCAACGGCCAATTACATCATAGGAGATGCATTGCTTAGCATTCCTTGGTCTTGGTGGCACCTTACGACTGCTGTTTGTGTCGTTTATGTGATATGTCATATATCCCATCGTCTGAGAGCCTCTGAGCTGCATATGTACGTTGTACACATGTGTGCAAAATTTCAAGGTGATCGGAGTCTC